TTAATATGTGCCATGAACCCTACTGAATTTTGTGTATCCAGCAGAGAGGAATGAGCCTCAAGACATTTCAGAACTCAGCTTCTGCTACATCTTCCCTGAAGAGAAGGTGAGAAATATTAAGACACATTTTTCATTAGAAAAGAAGTTTTATTTACGTAGACAGGACAGTGCAGAACAAAAACACTGTTTCACTTGTATGTATAGACACAGCAGCCTTGATTTTCAGCCTTTCAACTCTCCTTACAAAGAAGCATGGTCAGAATGTAGGACGTGGACAGGTGACATATGTGGAAATATGAAATATAACAGTGATAACCACCCAAATGCAGAGCTTTCAAGGTTCTTGGTTTTTTTAAAAGGTCATTTTCTAAGACCGTAATTTGTTCCCATCCTTCAACCTCTGTGGAATAGAAACCAATCATTCTCACCAAATGACATAGCAGAAAGAACATACTTATTTTTCATTAGAAGTTTTGAAGAAATGCAGTCATTAGAAAGAATTTATGCCTAGCACCACATTATAGAATACCATTAAATTGTCATTCTGGTGCTTTAAAAAGAGCCAACTTGTTAAAGAGGAGCAGATGGCTTCAGTTTTTGTAGGAAACGCTTGTGACATTGTGGAATTCTTTCTTCCTCTTCTGGTGGGGCAGGGGGAGGCACTCAAGGCATAAGAAACTTTTATAAATTTCAGGAACTTGAAGAACAATGACTGATCAAACCTCATGCTTTAACTGACAAAGTATTTTTACAGCTAAAAAGAGAACCCGGAAACAATACATTTCACCTAAAGCAGGCAGGACAAATCAATCACGGATTCATATCTATTATATTCCACAAACAACACAATATCATCTTTGCCAACCTTTTTCGAAGGTTTTACCTTACTTGTGAAAAACAGGGCGAAAATGCCAGTGACTGCCCAGAAGGAGCCATTTCATCCCAGTGCCATCAGATGAAACCTCAATTACTCACAACTGCACATTTCAACATCTCTTATCAAGAGGTTATTTTGGGAAATTACCGAGACAAGGACCTTTATAATTTCAATTGCCCTAATCATTGCAAGGCAACACTGAACTTGTATTGAACTTGGAAAGTGATCACAACTTACTCCACAATAAAAAGCTTAAAAATCCTCACTATTTACATGCAGAAACCTATTCATTTGCAAAACTACTCCTCTCTCCACCAAGAGGCCAAATGAGCCTCCCCTCCCTTGCAGAGGACCATTTGCCTTTTAAAATGGGTTTATTATAACGGTGTGTTCATTTATTCAAATATTTACAGAATGCCTACTACACACCAGCCATTGTTTTTCAGGAGCTTGTGATATAGCAATGGGTAAAAACTCCCACCCTCCTAGATCTTAGATTTATCCTGGAGATAAGCAAAAGAAAGCAACACGGACGCATCTTAAATGCTGTGCAACAATCCGCTTCTAAGAGCTGAACGGTTCTCACAGGGCCAATGCCCATGGTGCCCTGCCATCCCACCTTAGCTCATTTTTGGAAAGGAGAGGGTACTCAGAACAGGAAGGAAGCTTCCACACATGAAACACGAACATGCAACCAGACCCGCCATACAATGGGACGTTTCTCGCATTCTCCCAGGACGACTACAAAGTAGGACAAAGCATCTTCCGTGTCAGGTGTATGCCCTCTCTCCCCACATTCCAGTGAGGCTGGCTGCACAGGGACGATGACTTGGGTTTGGAATAAGATCACTTCTGGTGGCCAGAGAGACAATAGCAGCCCATGCCAGCTGCCTGATCACTGCAAGCTACTGCCCCCACCCCACCGGCTCTTTTAATTGACTTTTTCAGTCTGACTCTAGGAAATGATGTCAGTTACTCAAAGGGGAGGACAGTTCATTCAAAAGTGTGCAAATGTGGTTTCACTAAGTAAATGTACAGCTGAGACTTACTGTCGAAAGCAGACACTTTCCACAAGGGCCACGGGAGCCTCCCTGCTGTGCGGCTCGGTCCCCAGGCATTACAGCACAGCTTCTTAACCTGGGGTGCGTGGACCACCATGACCCTTGAAGGTGTATGTAGTGTTATGTGTATATCTGAGGAGAGGGTCCATAGCTTTAAAGAATATACTTACAAGGGGGGTTTGTAACCTCCCAAAAGTTTAAGAGCCTCCATATTAGAGGGTCTCTGCCTGTCCCTTGGTGAAATTAAATGTGGAGCTGGACATGGCTGTCAGAACAATCAGTCCCAGCCCCAGCTGTAACGCTGGTGTTACAAGTCTGGCTTAGAGGCCTTCCTAACTCGTTTGTTAGGAAGATACAGGCCAGAAACAAAGTCAGCTACTACTGGGGTGGTCACTGAGGGTCTGTTTGCCCCCTTTTGTAAAGCAATGATGACTCCTCATCCTTGGAAATCTGCCACCTCAAACGGAGTCCTCCCTCTAAGCCAGCAGTGGATGGAGGAGTTAACTTTCCTAATAACACTTTTTCTCAAGCCAAAATGTATGACCAGACATCCACATCAGACTCTTAGTGCCATGACTATTCATGGACAGCATCATGTACCCCAAGGCTTGGGTTCCCCAAACCCTGCAAGTAAGGTACAAAAGGTGAGTGGAGCACTTTCTGTTCAAAATCAGTCTGTGTTATTGTTTTGTTTAAGCTTCAGCCTGGGGGATACGTGGCTCAAGAACCTCTGGGAAGAACTGTAACTAGACTCTCGAAACCATCAGCTACAGAAATGATGGGAAAGAGAAAAACAATATGGTGTCTCCTGAGAACACAGAGCATTTGCTGGGAGTTTTCTGGAAGGGCCTTCAGTGTGGTCACTCTTCCTCTAGATACCTGCCTCTGTCTTCACTGCCTTTTATTAGTCTCTAAACTCCTCAAAGATGAGGACCTGCCTTATTCACATCCTTATAGCCAGTCACTAGCGTGATGTCCGGGACATCACAGATGTTACTGGAACTCAGAGAGTAGGGATGGGGGGGATGCAGAGGTTAAGGGCTCTAATTAAAGAATTACATGTGACAGGGCTTAGAGAGTCCCTGGTCTCCTAAAATAATGTACCCATTTCTACCACTTCAAACTATAAAGAAGTTGAGGCTTTTTGAAAAAAATAAAAAAGAAGGATAGCACAGAAAAATATATTTCAGAAAATTTTCAAATTATAAAAAGAAACCAGTGTAAAGAACTGCGATATAACATCTCAGATACAGTGATATAAAAATGCAGCAAAATTGATGATTTAGGTTACTGACATTTCTAAGTGACACTATTATTCAATGGTAATAAATATTATGCAGTAAGAATAATTTAAAACACTGATTGGGGCTTCCCTGGTGGCGCAGTGGTTGAGAGGCCGCCTGCCGATGCAGGGGACACGGGTACGTGCCCCGGGCCGGGAGGATCCCACATGCCGCGGAGCGGCTGGGCCCGTGAGCCGTGGCCGCTGAGCCTGCGCGTCCGGAGCCTGTGCTCCGCAACGGGAGAGGCCACAACAGTGAGAGGCCCGCGTACCGCCAAAAAAAAATACAAAAACAAAAACAAAACAAAAAAAACACTGATTGCATCCTGGATATTTATCATTAGCTTTCCATCTCAGAAACCATCACAGAAGCACAAATAAAATCTGCTTTTGTGAATATTCTGAAAGGTGGAGAGCAGCTTATGTAATTAGATCAGGTAAACAACTGTCCCTAAGAGCCATCCATAAACTTTGAAGCTCCTGAGGATTATTCATTAGCAATGTATTAACTTTCTAAGAATAAAAACAGGGAGGTCCACAGATGTCATTTTTAAGAATTTTGTATAAAATGTAAACATAGTTAGGATCTATTTACATGATCAGAATTGGAAAAAGGTTTTTGATATTCTGGGTCAGCCTTAAATGTTTATGAAACAATGCTTGGGTGATACACTATATACCCATTTGTAACATTTATTCTATAATTCCCCATCAATGCTAGAATGTTCTTCCCAAATGGCCTCAATTTTGACATCACACGATTCTAAATTTAAATGAATTTTAAAAAAATGTTCTTAAATATAAATGAACTGCGAAGTTGTTCTGGCTCCAAGCACAGCCATGTGGCAGATGTCATTTATATGTTCTGATTGTAATAGGCAAAATGTCCCTCACTTTAAGCCTTCTGTGTTCTGTGAATTTGTTTAAGTAACATCCTGTCTCAAATGCTTTTGACTACAGAGGACTTCCCTGCAGATAACCTCTTCCAAAGTGATTGGATTACCTTGTTCTGTATGTTCAGCTTTCCCCACTGGGCTCTTTCAGGAGCATTCTTTCCTGTATGGAAGTCACAATATCCTTTCGATGCTATCTTACTGACAAAGTTCTCAGTCAGAGCAGCACTTGGGTCCGCTGCCCTTTGCAGCAGAGGGCATCACATAGTGGTTAGAGGACCTCGGTTGGTCAAGGTCGACAGGTAGCAGGGTCCAGAGCCTGATGTACAAGAGTTGAGGCTCCAGCAATTCTTCCAATGTAGGATACTGCCAGGAGCAGATCCACCTATGGGTCTGCAGTCAGCGAGTGAGTATTTTTCTCATCCAACAGTGACTAGGGCACAGACAAGATTCATATTAAATTATACCCTGACATGTTTATTATTATTTCATAAAACAAAACGAAAAAAACTCCCAAAGTCCTTGCTTTCCAGAAGCTCTGAGGCTCGTTGCACCATCTGTACATAAAGGTGTTTTTCTCTGAGGCACTAAAAGGTCTCTTACTCTTACTAGGATTAGACTTTCCACTTTCCGTCTGATGATGACGTACACATCTACGTTTGCTGTGGCCTACTTGTCTCCACGTTGTCTCGCAGGAAGCTCACGAACCATCCTCCACAACGTTTTGTTGACCATCGTTTTCACCAGGGACTCAGTAAGACATACCCAGTATCTCTGCTGAGAACCATCGACTGTGAACCAGCTGGGTACCTGCCAGAGGTTCTTCAGCCAAAATGAGTCCCATGTTGCCCAGGTCGCTGATCTGAAGTTCACGGGAAAAAAAGTCATCAGCAAGAAGTATCCAGGAGTCTCTGTCGAGCATTCTGCTCTCCATTATTTATTTTCGTTCCACTGTGTCCATTCAGATCTGTCCAAATGGAAAACAAGTATTTATGACAGAAGTCCCTCGGCAGGACCCATCGGCACTAATTAACTTCTGCTATAAATCTACCTCCTGGTCTCTGCTTTACCCAGTTAATCTAAGCCTCACTGCAGAGCAGCGGAAGTTGGGTCAGGGCGACAGTTAAATCAATAAACTCTCAGTCCCTTTTGTAAGCGACGGAGAGTGACAGACAAGACGATCGGCAGTATAGGGAGAAAAGACAAAAATTAGCAAGAATGACATCAGAGAAGAATGCTTGAGAAGGAAGACAGCACAGCCCAGAGAAAGCACAGATGCTTTCCGTTGGAAATTTGGGGCAGCACCAATGCTTTCCCCTCTCTCTCCCAGCACTCAGGGGTTTCACCTAAAACCACACCAGGAAAACGGTTTAACAGCGGTGGGCAGGGGTAAAGACTGTCGGTCATTCATAAGAGGTGGCTGCAGAGGTGCTCCGTGGGCTTCTGCAGCTTCCACCCTGAGAGTTAAGCCTACCTTTGAGATCTGCCGTCTGGTCCCCCTGCTCCTCCACCACCATCTCCACGGGCTCAGGATTTTTGCCATCAACCACATCCGTCTTGATCGTGCCGAGGTTTGTCAGGAGAAGCATGGGGTCGATGCCCTGACAACTGCTTTTAATATTCTCCAGAACCTTAAGACACTTGTACGACTTGAGTTCACTAATATTCTCCTCCAAGAAAAGAATGTAGAGACTCAAGTCGTTGTACCCTTCCGACTTGAAATGCAGAACATCAAAAGTGGGCAGGATTTCATACACCTTGAGAACATCCGTCTTCTGTCGGAATGGAACAAACAGCGTGTACACCACCAGGGGAGCCAGCATGACATACACCACGAGGTTGATGAAACTGAGCAACTGGAAGATGCCGACGGCAATGAGTTTGCACTGGAACCGATCGGGGATGGTGCTGTCATTTTTCAGGATGCCAGATTTGATGTTGCAGATGAACTCATCCGAGAGAGAGGAGAGGCTAAAGTAACAGCCCAGGTAGACGCCTGCTAACAGTATAATGCTGAGTGACAGCACCCGACAGCTGATGTACTTGACAATTAAACTTTTGGAGTGTTTCTTTGTCTTTAAGTACTGCTCCACAATTGGGTACTTGAAGTGGCTTTCCGATATCTCCCACAAACTGAAAAGAAACAAATAAAAATGATTTAAACCCTTAACCAAGACTGTCAAATAGAAACACATTCAACAATATCACACCGAAAATCTCCAATGCCTTCCCTCCCATACTTCTCTACCTGTAACTTCACTAGAGTACCAGGGAATAAAATCAGGTTTTTTTTACAAAAGAAGGAAAAGCAATAATAAAACACTCCCCCCCCCCCTTAATTTTTTTTTTTTTTTTTTTTTTGCGGTACGCGGGCCTCTCACTGCCGCGGCCTCTCCCATCGCGGAGCACAGGCTCCGGACGCGCAGGCCCAGCGGGCCTCTCACTGTTGTGGCCTCTCCCGCTGAGGAGCGCAGGCTCAGCGGCCATGGCTCACGGGCCCAGCCGCTCCGTGGCACGTGGGATCCTCCCGGACCGGGGCACAAACCCGTGTCCCCTGCATCGGCAGGTGGACTCTCAACCACTGCGCCACCAGGGAAGCCCCAAGGGAAGGACTCTTGATGTGACGACAGGTGCTGGGGCAGACAGGTGAGGGTGAGATTTGGGGCAGTGGGCCTTCCTGGCTCCCAAAGGGGGTCACCAGGTGGATGACAGCTCCCCACGTACTGGTAGTGAGAACCCTAAGCCCAGATGGGCAGGAGAAGGGCTGCTAACTCATACTCCCAAATCCTGATGGGCCAGCGGCTGGGGGCTAAGTTACCTTTGCCCCAGGTTCTCATTAACTTCTCGAGCTGGGCAGGCACCGTCTCTCAAGTCAAGGTCACGTACGCTCTTTGCAGCTCTAATTGCGCGGTTGTAAACTTTGTCAAGTTCTTCCATGATAAATTTCAAATCTGAGCAAAGATGAGGAACAGCTGCGAAACGCCAGAACAGGGAGGGAAGGTACAGCAGGATCGCCACCAGTAACAGGATGTAGGGGAAAAACTGAAAAATAGGAGAGCGAATCACGGGATCAACAGACCACCCCCTGAAGTAACCATGCTAAGCACTGCTAGCGGTTTTCTCATTTTGACACAAAAGTGCATGCCCACATCACTTGTGAAGGTCAGGCTCCTTACCCAATAATTACTTCTTATGGCTAAATTCACCTGTCCAGGTAATACGTGACACTGGTAACTACCTTTCCCCTCCACTTCGACAGACTTTAATTTGAATTCGTTGGCAGCTACATGGTGACACATGGTGTCTCCTCCCTAATTACAGAAGGAAACGAAAAAATAAAATTATTCCCCTGTCCTTTAGAATAATCCCTTGACAAAATCTCAATTAAGGAACATGTAAATGTCACAGTGGCCTCTGGGTTCTTCTTTTTTTTTTTAATTGCTATGGTTTTAGGAGGTCACTAAAGCTTTTAGAACTCTGTTGTTTTCCTCTCTGGAATTTGGGAGAATGACAGAAATGCATAATGTTGCTCAAAACAAATTAGAAAAATGTTGGCTTCAATGATCCTGTAATCACCCCATGAAACAGCTGAAATAAGCAGGTAAAGTTCACAAAATGCAGAACAGACTTCCATAGTGGACAGACCGTGAGGACCACCCAACATCCTCATTTTACAGCCAGATAATCTCAAGCCTGGAGAAGCCAACCACAATGGGTGACAGTCATGAGGGGAGCAACCCGATCTAGATGTACATTCACAACAAATGAGAGGGCATTCAGAAGTCAGAGAGAGCGAAGAGCATCCAGTAACCAGGTCCGCAGGGCAGTAAGGAAAGGCTTAGCCTCAGAGAAGACGCAGGAAGCTGCAGCCAGAACAAATCTGAAATTAAACTTAGCTTAGTGGTCTTCGCAGAGAGGTTGCTGAGCCTCTGACCTCAGTTTCCCTGTCTATCAAATGGTCACGTAATACAGGTGTTGTAAAGATTAAATTAGATAATTTATGAAAAATGCTTTGCATGGTGCCTGGCACGTCGTAGGCACTAAAACACAGCAGCTAAAACCAACGGAAAGGCTACTGAGTGGGCACTTATCTTCAATCCTCACAATGACCCTGGCAAAGCCGTTGCCGGTGGCCTCACTTTGCAAAGAGGACGCCCAGAGCAGTTTCTGGCCACAGAGCACAAAGCTGGTGATAGAGACAGAATATGAAGGTTGACCTTTCTGATCCCAGAACCACGCCTCTTTCACCATAATACACTGCAAATTATTTTACTTCTCTGGAAAACTCCTCCCTACCTTTGGATTGGTCTCTCTCCACAGCTGCTCAGAGCTGTAACAGGAAGAGGCTACGATGGCCTTGAGTTGACACAAAACTCCCACCCCGACCTCTCTGGGAGCCGGCAGCAGACCAAGTAAGAGTGTGACTCTCACTATAGATCAGATGTACAGAAAAGTTGCAAAGATGGTCCAGCGTGTTCTCGAATAACCCTCATCCAGTTTTCCCCTCTGTTGACATCGGACATCTCCATGGCACACTTGTCAAGACGAAGGAACCATCGTTGGCACGTTACCATTAGCTACATTTCAGGCTTTTATTTGGATTTCTCCAGTGTTCCCATTATTGTCTTCTTTCTGTTTCAAGATCCCATCCAGGGTATGCACTGCATTTTGTTGTCACGTCTTCCTAGACACCTTGGTTCTGTGACAGCTCCTCAGTCTTTCCTTGTTTTTCATGAAGAATAACGTTTTTAAATGCATAAAATAACACATAAATTCGCAAAGGAAATGGATGATGTTGGTATACAGCTGTCACAACATTAAAAGACAAATTTGTATGTGCGTCTTTGTCAACACATTTAATGGGATCTAACAGATGGTCCAACAACACAGTAACTCTGAAGTGAAGAGTAAAAAATACTCTAAGATAGCTGTGATTTCTGTTGGTGACAGTCACACATGGCACTAATACCACTACAGAGTCTTGCCTACTTACATACATATTTTTTTAATGTTAAGTTTTAGCTTGAGGTACATAAAAAATAAAGCTGCCCTGTGTTTTCTTATCCTAGTTCGTGGACTTCCTGATGCTATCATGGAGCCCACTTTAGAAATCCCTGCCCCAAGGGCAAGAGAAATAGCAGAAATGGCTCAGAAACTCCGCAAAGCCCTCACCAACGCAGCTGCTTCCCTTTGGGGCTCTGGCATGGGATGGGGTCCTCAAAACTATTAATCCGGGCTTCCCTGGCGGCGCAGTGGTTGAGAGTCCGCCTGCCGATGCAGGAGACACGGGTTCGTGCCCCGGTCCTGGAAGATCCCACATGGCGCGGAGTGGCTGCGCCCGTGAGCCATGGCCCCTGAGCCTGCGCGTCTGGAGCCTGTGCTCCGCAACGGGAGAGGCCACAACAGTGAGAGGCCCGCGTACCGCAAAAAAAAAAACCAAAAACCAAAAAACAACTATTAATCCAATTTGCAAAGAGCTGCTACACAATGACACACACAACAGGCTGTGATTAGCTGCATTTTGGCTACATAATTCATAGTTGGCTACACTGAAATGCAGTGTTCCTTCAATCCTAGTCACTCTGAAGGGTGCTCATTAGTATAAAAATTTAACTGCGTGACGTAGAGTTTGTGCTGCTTCCATAACTGAAAGAACCAGACATTTCCTTTGGGAACCACAGAGGGAAAACTATTTCTAACTTGGGGCTGTGGAATATGTGTATAAGTCACTTTTGGTTCAAAGCTATTTGAATAATAGTATTTTATCTCGAACTGTTCTTGTGAAGTGGGAAGTGACTGTTCACAGTCTGTAGCAATTTTTCTAACATGCCAGCACGGTGTAATAATTAGCACCAATGAACAGTTCAAACACAGCTCACTGCAATTTGAAAAATGAATGTTTAAAGGTATTACATGAATGTTTAAAGGTGTTTGCTTTCTTCTAAAATATCCTTGTACCTTGATCACCCCTACGGGAATGTAGTTGAATGCCCCGTTTCTTAGTTTTTCTCCATAGTTAAACCTCTTTTTTCTTTTTCATCAAAAATAAAAAGCTGATTTGCAGTGAATCTGCAGCAAGATGGCTTTAAAATGAATTCAAATGAAATCAGAATCCAAAAAAAGCATTAAATTATAGTCTTTAAAATCCTTTTGTCCAAATAAGGAACATGGAAAAACTACCGAGCTTTATGAGTACATCTGCTGGATGGGAACGGCTTTGTTTCCAAGCTCTGTCTACTCCCAATTAGTTCTGAGATGCTTGGCATCTTTCAAAGCTATGACTGCATGATTCTGTACGATGCCCATGTTAGTTAGTGCTGAGCTATTCCAAAGTTGGTGAAGCTACTCATAGCAAGGTGAAACCAAGAACTTGGTACACTTTTCAGTCTCTGAAAAGAGACTGAAAAGTCTCTTTTTTTATCTGCCTTAAAATCTTGTTTTGTTTCTGGAGAGGGTTGTAGTTAGAACAACAGACCCTCCAGATGGCAGGGACCTTGGAGGAGACCCGCCCCAGCCTCCCTCCATGTTCAAATCCCCTCTAGCTCATCTAAGGCAAAGGAACATCCAGTTAGGACTGAGCGACTCCTCCCGTGAAATGGATGTGATCACGTCTTATGGGATTAAATGCAGATGGGTAAATTCATTCAAAAATATCTCCTGGGCACTTGCCAGGTACTAGGCAGTGGGCTGGGAGCATGGCCCCAAAGAGGAAGTGCACAGTTTGCCCCAGGACCACACAGGTCAGGGGGGAATGGCAGCTAATAATTAAATAATCAAAACGTAAAAGTGATGATCACAAAATATGTAGTACTGAGGGAACAGAGATGTCCTTGGGGAGGTGAGGCAAGGCTTTGTAAAAGAGGTAACGCCTGAGCTATGTCTTAAAGTACAGTGAGGCAAAACAATAACAACAAAGCACCCATAAAGCACTATTACGGTGACTTCCCTGGTGGCGCAGTGGTTAAGAATCCGCCTGCCAATGCACGCGATACGGGTTCGAGCCCTGGTCCGGGAAGATCCCACATGCCGCCGAGCAACTAAGCCCGTGCACCACAACTACTGAGCCTGCGCTCTAGAACCTGCAAGCCACAACTACTGAGCCCATGTGCCACAATTACTGAAGCCCGCAGACCTAGAGCCCACGCTCCACAACAAGAGAAGCCACTGCAATGAGAAGCCCGCACACCACAATGAAGAGTAGCCCCTGCTCGCCGCAACTAGAGAAAGCCCGTGCACAGCAACAAAGACCCAATGAAGCCAAAAAAAAAAAAGCACTATTATGTTAACACTCAGCTCTCTGTGGCCCTTCAGATATCCTCTTTCCTCTGTCTAGAATTCTTTCTCCTTGTCTACCTGGTGAATTCTCACCCATCCCGGGCACCAAAGTAAATGAGCAAGCCCACAGCTGAGAAAGTAGTAAGAGCTGAGGCTGGAAGGGTGTGTAGTAGGTTGACAAACTCACGTCCACCCCGAACCTCAGAATACGACACTGTTCGGACATAGAGTTTTTGCAGACGTAACTAGCGAAGATGAGGTCATACTAACTAAGGTGGGCCCTAATCCAGTGACTGGTATCCCTCTAAGCACACAGAGACACACTGGGGAGACGCCAGGTGAAGACAGAGGCAGAGACTGGAGCGATGCATCTACAAGGCAAGGAACGCCAAGGACTGCCGGCCACCACCAGAAACTAGCAGAGAGGCATGCAATGGACCCTCCCCTCTGAGCCCCATAGAAGGAACCGACTCTGCTGACACCCTGATTTCCAAATCTAGGAGAGAAGACATTTCTGTTCTTTCAAGCTACTGAGTTTGTGGTCATTTGTCACGGCAGTCCTAGGAAACTCATACAAAGGGGAAGCAGGGACCGAATTATGAAGCTCCCACAGTACGGGAAGCCGCCGGTGGAGGGCATGATGGGAATTTATTTTAGAAAAATTATTACAGCCGTGGAGAAAGGAAGACACTGGAGAGGAGCGACGAGGCAGGAGCTTACTGCGGCAAAGAGGGGGTAAGTGATAAGCACTAACTAAGGCAGCAGCA